CTTTATTAGTTTCACAATTAGAGATAATTTGATTATTAGCAGAAATCTGGATGTATTGTGTTTTCTGACAATTCAGGTTCAGCTCATCAGATAGAAACCACTGATTAGCACTATTAGATACCTCGTCGAGATGAGACTGTAACAGATCATTATTTTTATCCGACAGAATGAAAGTGGTGTCATCCGCAAAGAGAAACGATTTGAACGACTTAATATATTTGAACAAGTCATTTACATAAATATAAAATAAGAGCGTATGAAAAATATATTTTTCCCAGTTGATTTTTTTCAATTTGTAGACGAAATTCTTGATTACGACAAGTTTCTGACTAATAAGAGTGTTCAGTAGTTTATATTACGCAGTAACTTTTTGGGGTCAACTTTTTTGCCCTTCATTACACTTCAGCAGATTCTCTATTGATTCAGTTTCCTTTATTTTCCAGATTGTGGAAAGTGATTTGCCAAAAGAAACAGTGAGAAATACACTGTACATCCACTTCAAAACCCTTATATTTCAATAATATTCTAAACATCAACTGACTAATGCACTACACCCAACGAACTCATTTCTCACTCCCACTAATACCTTAAATAACTCATGAATACTTAATCTATGAAAGGAGTGGGGTAGTTGCTGATCGGGAGGGGGGGGTTTAGTTTCGGATATGATTTGCTATCACAATCAGTCCCCCTAGAAATGAAAAAGGACGTTTACTTTGAAATTTTCGATTACACGTCTGTTTCTGACTCACAGGGGGGGGTCAAGTGTTCGTTGGAACACCCTATATATCTTTTTTAACTCTGCATGCAGCTACATCAGTATTTGAACTGAACAATTTCGTTTGTATATGGAAAGCTATTATTATTCACAAATTGATAAGACAGCCAATTATCAATAAAACATGATATACTCTAAATACGATTTCAGCAAATAAAATATATTTAAGTTTTCAATTACTCATTTCTGGCTGAGTTTTCTTCGGATATAAATATAAAACATCACAAAATGTCCATCTTATAAACTTTTACGAACACTGGCTCTATACAAAGATGTCAAAACAGCCATAAATTATATCCATGATATATATTATGTTTTACATGTTTTCACAACGTTTCCAATGTTTATTATTGGCAATGATGATTTTATCTAACAAACCCCACATAGGAGATAAGGATACACTATAAGAACTATAAAACACACTATTTGTCTATTTTCCACGATAGTTCTATATTTGTTGAGTAGTTTCGGTTATTACACCTTTTTCAAAAGTGTTTTGAGTAGTATAGGTCATTACATCATTTTCAAAACAGTTTTGAAAAAGGTGTAATAACCGAAACTATTCAACAAATATAGAACTATCGTGGAAAATAGACAAAAAGTGTGTTTCATACATGTTTGAGTGTTTTGAGTAGTTTCGGTCATCACACCATTTTCAAAACAGTTTCGAAAATGGTGTAATGACCGAAACTACTCAACAAATATAGAACTATCGTGAAAAATAGACAAAATGTGTTTTTATACTGTATCCACAGTGAACATGAATTTCCACAAAATAAACAAATCGTCAATCAAAGAAGTAAAACCTACATAGGTCCTCCATAAGTCCTGCTATTAATTCATTTGCTTTTTGCTCGAGTCAAAGTAGCAACTAAGAGAAAAATCAAATGCAAAGTGTCATTTCGATATCCGAATCATATCAAAAAACGCAACTTTTGTCAGTACCAAATAATTGTAACTCACCTACAGTGCCGATGAGGACGACTTGTGTGATAGTATAAGTAGCCTCGTGCGAAGTATTGATGATTTGAGTTGTGTTCTCCACCACCTGCGACGAGTTCATGTTTATGTCACGAGGACTCGCAGTTGGAGGTTAGGCGCCGCATGGTGCTGGCCACCTTCTGGAAAAAAATCAAAAAACAGATGTGAGGAATAACAGATTGATTGTCAAGCCCGAATGAGAAGTGACGAGATGATGAGGGAATGTATAGGTGAAAATTGATTGAAAGTTGTTGACAATGTTTCGTGGTGTATTATATCATATTAGACAATGGATGTCCAAACTAATGAAATACACACCGA